GAAGGGGAAACAAAGGAGGAGGCAACAATGCTTGATAAGAAATGTACTCATTATCTTGCCCATGTAATTGTAACCCCTCTGTACAGTATTTTCACAATTAAAAAAATTTTTAAAAATGAAATGTACTCATTACATGACTTACATAACTGTAACCCTTCTGTGCATTACCTTTATAATAATCAAAAAAACTTTAAAAAGACATAGAAACACAATATTACTCTCAAAAAATACAGAAAAATTATATAGTTCACTCTCTTTAATGAGACCCACAGATTCCAAAGGGAATTTGATTTGTAGGATATGTTTACCATATTTAATACTTACTACTAATCATAATATACAATCATGTAAACATGCAGATAGAGTTGTTAAATGTATTATTAAGTAGCTGGGCTCTGGTGGCTCACATCTATAATCCCAGCTATTCAGGAAGCTGAACTCTGAGGATTATGGTTTGAAACCACCTTAAGCAGAAAAGTTCAGAAGACTCTTACTTCCAATTAACCAACAAAAAGCTGGAAGTAGAGCTATAGCCCAAGTGGTAGAATATATATGAGTATTTATAGACTATATAATATATATTATCTATGTTATATAAATATATGCTAATATAAATGAGATGTTACATATTAACATATATATATAAATATATATAATTTGATATATATTTTGATATATTATATATAATATAATTTCACTTCAAGTACAGGAAAGAGAAACATACCTGGAAAATTCCAAAACATTAAGGATTCCAAATGTCTGCTCCTGTCCCATCTATGAAAGAAAAAGTTGTTACCTATTGTGAAAAGTATTCAATTCTCCAAGCAATTGTGCCCCAATCATAAGCACACACGTGCACACATGCAAAACAACTGGAGCCTTAAGGCAAATGCCTTTGCAATGAATAGTTTTCTCATAAGTCTAGAGCTCCCTCTGCTGGTAGAAACGTCCCCTTCCCCCCCCCCCTTCAGTTATATGGCTATCCTAGTGGTTGGCTGATATAGCCATTTACAAGTGATGAAGATACATGACACAAGCTATAAAACGCTATCAGAAACCTTGGGATCCTGAGCTAAGGTTTTTCATCACCCTTACTTCCCAGCTGCTCTCTATGCCCTCCCTGTCATAAGGGACTCTATATTGTAAGCAAAATATATCCCATCTCCCTTAAGTTGTTTCTGTCAGGCATTTATTTAGAGAAATAAGTAACACAGAACATGAGTACTGAAGAACTAGGATTGCTGATTTGACTACCTGACAGTGTGATTCAGTATGGTTTCTGAATATATTATGAGCACCAAAAATGTCAAGTACTTTGTATCAGGACAAAAGGAATGGTATCTTGATGTTGACTTTATATTTAAAAGACTTTCCTATGAGAAAAAGAGCACTCTGCACACAAACAAGAGCTTAGGAAAGTCCCCTCCCCCTTGCAGGATTCAGTTCATCACACTTAGTCACCTAGGTATTCAGAGGCCACTGAAGCTGTGGTGCAAATGGGTCAAGTTCGTGCTAGCTCATATTGGTGTCATTTATGTGATACTGTTTTCTGAGGCATGGAAAATGCAAGAGGTTTTTTGCGGGGGGGCATTACAGAACTGAAAGAGAGAGGATGAACTTATTCAAAGTATATTGTACATACTGGTGCTGGTGGATCACACTTGTAATCCTAGCTACTCAGGAGGCTGAGATTTAAGAATTGTGGCTCAAGGCCAGGCTGGGTTAAAAAAAAAAAGTCTGTGAGACTCTTATAGCCATTAATCAGCAAAAAGCTAGAAGTGGAGGTATGGCTTAATTGGAAAAGTGCCAGACTTGAGAGACAAGAAAGAGTACAAAACCTTGATTACAAGCCCCAGGACCAGCACAAAAACAAAAGTATACTGTACGTATTTATGAAATGATCAGAGTAAACTCCCCCTGTACTATTAATATATGCTAATAAAAAAACATAAAAATTTAAAAAGAGCTGGACCTAATGCAAGAGTTATAGGGTCATGAAGATTTGCAACAAGATTTCAAAGGAAAGCCTGGGAAGCCAGGCAATCTGTGACTTGGTCCAAGGCCTTGGAGGAGGCCCCTGAGAAAAGACTTGCCCAGAATGTGGGAAGCAGTATCTCATAGGCTAGGGGCCCAGAGAGAATAAAAGGCAAAGAAGGAGAATGAATGCAAACAGACCCCCCTCTCTCTCTCTTTCTCTCTCTCTCTCTCTCTTCTAGACACCATGATATGATCCTCTCTACCATTCCCCACCATGATGGACTGAAATTGTGAGAAAAACAAGTCTTTCCTCTGGAAGGAAAGGAGGAAGAGAAGGTGGGAAGGAGGAAAGAAGGAGGGGAAAGAGGAAGGAAAGAAGGAAGGGAGAGAGGGAAGGATGGAGGGAGAGGGGGGAAGGAAGGAAGGAAGGAGGGAGGGAGGGAGGGAGCGAAGGAGGGAGGGGAGGAAGGAGGGAGGGAAAGAGGGAAGGAGGGAGGAAGGGAGGGAGGAAAAGGAAAAAGAGCTCATCCTTGAGGCCACATACCAATTACCAAATCCATAACTAAATCATCCTCTCCTCACCACAACTCCTTCCTCTTTGTATCACAAAATACAAAGATCTATATAATGTGGCTTTCATTTATCCTTATTCACCTCTCAGAATGCACCAGTTTCCCCTTTTCCTCTGCCTGTCTCAGCTCTGTCAGAATCCTGTTAGACAGCACCCATTGATTACTTCCAGTAGCCACCCAGTCTCTGAACCAAGGTTACCTCAACCACCTATGGAGCTAATGTGCTCAGCTGTACAATGATTAGCAAAGACATTTCATGTAAATACTGGCGGCCAGTATTGGTTAATAGTATCCCAGAATTAATGGTTGAATGGGATTTCTTAAACCATTATTTATGAGACCTAACTCATCAAGCAGTCATGCATGACTTCAAGAAATATGGCCTTTAAGCCTTAATAAAATGATGAAGGGTGCAAACCTGGCATTTAACATGGATATGATCATGCCATAGGCTCTTTGCTCCCCACATGTATCTGGCATTCTGAGCCAAGTAGAGCAGCTTTCTTATCTTCTGTATTTCCATTCATGCTTAACCTCCCGCAACTATCATTTTTACACTGCATGCAACAACACTAATACAACTAAATATTCTACAGTTGGAGGTTAAAATTCCCCTGAAACTAAGCCGGGTGCTGGTGGCTCACACCTGTAATCCTAGCTACTCAGGAGGCTGAGATCTGAGGATCATGGTTCAAAGCCAGCCTAGGCTGGAAAGTCTGTGAGACTCTTATCTCCAATAAACCATTCAAAAACTGGAAGTGGTGCTGTGGCTCAAGCAGTAGAGCACTTGCCTTGAGCTGAAGAGCTGAGGGACAGCACCCAAGCCCAGAGTTCAAGCCCCATGACTGATCAAAAAAAAAAAAAAATCTCCTGAAACTGCTGGGCACCTGTGGCTCAAGCCTATAATCCTAGTCACTCAGGAAGCTAAAACCTAAGGATTGAGGTTCAAAGCCAATTCTGGGCCAGAAAGTCTGTGACTCTTATCTCCAATTAAACACGGCAAAACTACTACTTGATCTGTGGCTCAAGTAGTAGTGCCACCCTTGAGCAGAAAATGTCAGGGACAGTACCCAGGCCCTGAGTTCAAGCCCCAGCACTCACACCAAAATAAGTATATAAATAACTCTCTTGAAAGGGACTTCATTTTTAAAAAATAAAAAGGTTACTAAGAAGAAAATTCCATATTTAATCAGTGTTTCATTCCACTCTTCCATTTTAATGATTGCACATTTCCTGAAGCTAAATTTCCTTGGTTGATTAAAATAAAGTTTAAAATAAACACAGTCTGTTTTCTATACTACAAGGAAACATGAAGGTCCAAAGACATAGCATTTTAAGTAAGATATATTTTATAGGCTTTGATATTTTATAGGTAAAAGAAAAACAAATGACTACTGCCAACTGAAAAATGATCTTCAAGTTCATTAAAGAGGTGTGGAGAATAAGGATGAATTAAGTGACTGTCCAAATGTCCTCATGAACCCAGAGTGTAGTAAAACACTACCCTTCCAACTGTCATCATTAATACCAGTGGCTCACCAGTTCTTTTCTTTTTAATTTAATTTAATTTTATTTGTGAACATACTGTACAGAGGGGTTACAATTGCATGGGCAGGATAATGCGTACATTTCTTACCAAG